CTAATTCAGGTTCAAAGAGTCAGTCATTGCTATTGCAATGTTTTATTTTTCCAATACTTTTCCTGACCTGAAGAATACATTATGTGTCAATTAAGTAATTTGTTGAGCCAGGAAATGTGTCCTTCCTCTCAGATTGTTACAGTATCCAACTTGAAAGTCATATTTTTGGAAAAGTTAACACTACCAGATTAGGCTGACAACAACAATCTTTGCTTTGGGTGTTACTACTGATTAAAGTAGTCTTAAAATCGCTCATTTCCGCATCAGTGAGTTGCTCAGAATAAAGTAAGGGGTTAAGGGTCAAAGTGGTCCTGTCATACCTATGTTCACATGCTTGTCAGGTTTAGCTGCTAAATTTAAACTACAGACTGAGAGCAGGAGGGGTCTGAAGCACAAAGTTCAGAACATAACTGCAGTCAACTCTCTTTTCTCAGTCACTGTAGGTGGGCTCAACCCAACGTACTGTGGTATCCAAAAATAGATGCTAATACTGATTTTTAATCGAACTGCTTCCATCTCTACAATGCAGGAGTGTTTAAAACGGTTCCACTTGGCTTTGCAGTTCCACATACTGACACATGCAGTATTCATTGGGAAAATAAAAAGTGGGCTGTATATTTATTCTAAAATAAAAAAATAACCTACCATCATTCCTGTTAAATTGAAACTGTATTGCTGTTATTTAGTTCACTGAAGCTAGAATACATTCTTAAACACTTTGGCTACAGATACTAAAAAATGTTTTATTTTCTTATCAAAAGTGTAAATCTAATAATATCGCTCCACTCTTAAGATTCCAAGTTCTACTATTTTTTTTATTTATAAAATCGCATATCATAACACTGTAAAAATGCGTTACACCTACTCAAGCAAAGTGAGGATTTTTTTCTATTTATTCAAAGGAGAAAAACCTTGATTGCTGTTAAGAGCCTCAGCAGCAATGTTTGTTTTTGTTTTCACTTCTGGCAGCTAAATTGTACCTTTCTATGATTTCTTACAGTTATGCTTTTGCAACTGCTGCTAAATTGTTAGAAAACAATACTTTAATGCTTTGCTTCAAAGTATTGGGTAAAATGAATAAGGGGTGTTTTCTATTTATTTCATGGACAGAATTTAAGCTTATGCTAGAATAGCTGTATTTAACATGTCTGACATCTAAAATTTCAAATAAAATTTGATTTTAATAGAAATCCAACATGAAGCTAGGTTTATTTAGACATGCAAAAACATTCACACCAACACTGCTAATATCTTTAGAACATTTGAGATTCCATCTTCATAATGACTCAACCCTAAACAAATATACTGCATGTATAGGCCATGTGTGTTGTTTAACTTCTGGCATCAATACAACTGTCATATGAAGGCTTCAGATGGTTGATAAAAAAAAAATTAACAAGGAATATCCCAACAACAAATTAATACTTTCAATAGGATACAATTTTAGGAAAACTTCAAAACAGTTGAGAAATAAAATCATTGTTTCATGTTCTGAAATAGAAAGAGCATAACACAATTTTTATGCTATCAAGATATTAATAGTATTATTTAGAGGGGGCAACTATGGCCCGTAGTAATTGTGGAAGAGCTGCAAAGGTCAACATTTATGGTGTAGAACCTGTGAACCTACAATCAATGGAAAACTTATAGCTGAAGTGGAAAACTGATGTTGGTGATGTTTCCATTTATGTGACTGAGGATGAGCTATTTTGGAAAAAAAGAAAGATATTCATTTATTTTAAATATTTTTCATTTAAAATGAGTTTGTCTTTTTTTTTATATAACTGCAAATACTCCTGTTTTCATTTGCTCTACAATCTTTTTATTTATTTTTTGGTTCCTTTGCATATTCATTTTTGGTCTTATGCCTACCTGTATATTTTCATTTGTTTTTGCGTTGCAATGACACATGAGTTTCTATTCTTATCAAATTAAGAGAAGGTCGTGGACTAAAATTGCAACTGGATCAAGACTATGGTTAGACATTGAGAATCAATAAATAACTGGAAGCTTTTCCAACCTTTAAATTCTTCCGAAGTTGTTCAATTTTAAATTTTTTTTTGTTTTAAAAAAAATGGGGTCTTTTTAATATTTTCTTCCATTACTTTACATCTTGACCTAAACATCTAAACCTTTCTCTGTCCACAAAAGTAAAACATCACTACTTCCACGTCTGGACAAGTGGAACTGAGCAGTATATAAACTCTGATACCTTCCTGCTGCACTGCTTACCTACTGTTCAGACACCCAGCCTACCACCACAGTCTAAATAGGGTGAATAAAACAAGAAAACTGTCCTATACATACTTACTATATACTATACATAATACTTTTGTTAGCCTTATACAGTAGTATGTAAGCTTTTATGATTCTTCTCCTTAAAATAATCAGAATTGGGAATCAATAGAAACCAGAATCATTCAAATTAGTAGGCTACCAAACCTTAACCAGGGCAGAGGCATGGTAGTAAACTGATCAATTTAATAAACAACAGGGTGACTTTGCATAGCACTTGAAATTACAGAAACCAGATAAACCATTAAAGTAGAAGAATGGCAAAGCAGCTTAAATTCTAATTGGAATGAAGGATTACATGGTTTAAAGTAGGGCTGAAACAATTAATCCAATTAATCATGATTAAATGATTATTTGAAATAATCACCAACTAATTTAGTAATCGATGAATCGTTAACTGGAGTATAGAGACTGTAAAACATGCCTTTAACTAACACAGCAACCCACTTAGAGCACTCATTATACCAAAATTGTGAAGAAAAAAAAAATTAAATATTGTGCAATTAAGACTAAAAAAAGTTTTTGGCTGTCAATATGCTCTATCCTGAATTCCTCAATTGGAAATATTTCAGTTTCACCTGGTTTAATTTTGTAAAAAATTTTCTTTAAGGAACCTATGGCCATCGGATTATTAATCAATTAATTAAAAAAATTATGGACAGATTAATCGATTAGCAAAATAATCCTTAGTTGCAGCCCTAGTTTAAGGTGAGTGCAATCAACCGCAACATGGAAGAGATACAAGGAGGCAAAGGAAGGAAGTGGTAAGCACCAGAAGTCAATAGGACCATGATGGTGGAGGAGATGCTCACCCTCAGTGGCATAGTTGGTTAAACAAGAAAACAAAGAGGTGTGAAAAGGATGCCAGCAGGATGAGAACAGAGGACCGCACAGACAGGTAAATGAAAGTCACAGAAAGGGGCTGAAAACAGAGGGAGTCAAATTAACTGAAAACACAAACAGGGGTGGATTGTGACAAACTAATTAAGAAATAAAAATGCATGGGAAGCTCTGTACATTATCTTTCAAGTACTTTTAAACCCTGATTTTTTTTCCACTGTACCATACTGTACAATAATCTATAAATGTAATACATTCATAGATCATACAGACTTGGAAAAAAGTGGTTGTTTTTCCAATTCAGCTGACCAGTTTATAGCTGCAACACAGCAGCTGTATGTAGGTTAGTGGTGCAGTATCTGTGGCCACAAAGAGAATCCTTCTCCTTATCAGTGCAGTCTTGCTCTACTCACTCCTTCTCACACATAGTACACACCCCTGCCTCAGGCTGTTTAGACCCTCAGAGAGGAATAAGAGAAGAGGTTGTTAACTTTACATGAACTCGCTTCGGGAATGCCTTCCCCTTGGCTTGGGTGCTCTCCCACACAGCCAAAGCCCAGTGTCTGAGAAAAACAACAATACCTTAGCTTATGGATCAACTATAACCAAGTAATACTCTTTGGCTCTTCTCTGCACAATACTGAAGGTTTATATATCAAAACATTAAATATTAGTTCAATATTTTTTCTTGCGCTGAAGACAGAGGCTTTAGACATCTAGGGTTTTATGCCACATAGCTTGTAAGTAGAGCACATGTAATGGAAGCCCACACTGAATATTAATGCTCAGTTACTATGTGTTCCTGCAGAGCATCAGCTTCAAGAGCGAGACAAGGACTGTGCAGAATAATGCAGAAACAATTTAGCCCTTGTTTCACTGTCAAGCACCAAATTGTTATAAATTGATAACCATGACATTGATTTGTGCCACTAATGATTGCAAGATTAGATTTTGGGGTCTTACATAGCAACCAGGTCTGAAAAGCCTTATTAAAATCATTTTTTTCTCTGAAAAAATTGTGGCATGTATGAGGCATGTGTTTAAATAAGATCAAATGTTTAAAAGAGTGCTCAAGCAGAATAAATTAGCTTATTTGGAAATTCAGTTAAGGTCCTATCCATCAGGAAGCAATTCCCAGTGGAAAACCTAATCAGGCATCAAGTGATGTCCTTGAATTTAGCGATAAGTTGTGCTAATTGCTATGTACATAGATTTAGGTGTCAGCTTGCTTGTCTGCTTTAAGGAAAATGGAACACATAAAAGGCAAGCCTGCATGCTGACAGTCACCAACTCTCTCATGCACACACAGCAATCAATTTTAGACCCAGCTGCAGCTGATTTTGAATGAGGCAACATGAAAAGATTACGCTTTCCTCCAGACACTCTGCTCATGCAGTAAAGCTTTTATTCATTTTGTTCTCCAATCTCTGGATCCGATGATTTGAGGAGAACTCATATCAGCCCCTGAACAGCTTATAAAGGGAGATACATTAGGTCTCTCATTAAATGCTAGATCAATGTCAAGATTTCTATACCGCCACCTGTGTAGTCTCGATTAGGAAAACAAATTCAAATTGTTTTGGGCAATTGACTTCACTGTCAACTGCTACAGGTTACAGCTTTTGTTTTATTCTTTTGTTAACCATTCTTAACGCCTTTTAAGGTTTGTATTAGTTAGGCAGTAACGAACCAAGGAAGTTGAATACATCTGTATGACACTGTTCATTTTTGCATTTCCAAAAGTGTTTGCAGTTGTAATGAGACGAAAAGTGTAGAAATTCCAAACTTTTGCAGGGAACTGTAAGTCTTTACAAAAAAAAAAAAAAAAGAAGAAACTCGACAAATTTATGTTTGGGGAAACTAACCTGTCAGACCCTCCACCAAAGACACCAGCACTAAAAGTTTCCATAGCAACTCCATTTTAATGGTCTCGGATGAGAACAAGCTTAGATCCAATCACAGGAGCATAGAGTTCTGGCTTTGTCCTTTCCAGTTATGTTCAGTGTTCATCTGTCAGATAAAAAGAAAAAGAGAAGGAAATATTAGTGAGTCACAACCCGTCACATCAACAAGGACAGTAGCAGGATGTGCTTGAAACAGAAAAAATTGAGATTCTGAAAACTCATAACATTTACAGAGCTATAAATGTGATATTCAGTAGTGCTTGCTGTGAAGTTTTTTTTTTTAAGTAAGCCTGATATTGCAGAACATGTAGTGCATTCGAGAAAAGCACAAATAAACTGTCTTCTTTTGCTCAAACCTGCTGAGACAAACAAAAGTTAGCTTGCTTGTCAGACAAGACCCTAGCATGTAATAAAGCATTATGCCAGCTCCTTGAAATCTTCTTAGCTGGATTAAGCATTTCTGACATAAAGAGCTGACTATATGTAGACCAAAGCCATTTTCTAGTCTCCCTGCAAAGACTTGCAATTGATTTTTCTCTCAAGAAATTTGCTGAAACCCATCTCAGCTTCCTTAAATTAAACCGCCCCGAAAAAAAATTTGAATTGATAAAGAGAGTCCGTTCTAACCTGGTAACAGAGATTTGGCTATTTGTCTAAATACTTCCAATCCCACCAACATGTTGATAGGAGAGATCCTCTCCCTGGTAACGCAGTAGATAAATGTTTGCTTATGAGAGGCAGGTCATAGAAACAGAAAGCTGGATGGGAGGAAATTAAGTATTGGCTTTGTTCAAACTGGCTCTCCTTGGGACATTTAACTGACTGATGGTGCAGCTTGCTCTGACTACACACCATCAGCAGGGTGAAATGAATAAGAGGAAGAAATTATTAGAAATGCAAAGTATAGTCTATCAAGAGGCAGGGTGGGGGGGAAAAAAGAAAGAAACAGACAACTGAAAGATTATACCCTTATACTTTCTCAGTTATCTGCGCGCCTCCTATCTTTGGAGCACTGAAAGGCATGACAGAGCATACTGATGCTTAGACTATATCAACAGCCTTCCCCTGACACGTTTGCCTGCACTACCTCTTTTTCCTGTGTGTAGCATTAAAGGCAGCACTATTTCTGCCTATAAATCTCATTATGGAGATTAGGTTTAGAGTGCCAACTTAGTTCCAACTTATCTCGCAGTTATTAGGATGCAAATGTCATGAGTAACTGTTGGCTTTTAATAATAAAACAGAAAGACTTTAAATCCTCCTTTTCTGCTCCTGGATATTTTTGGAGTTCTCTGCCTTTGAGGAAATCATTGTGAAATGTGCTGAATAAATTACTTTAAAAATGCATTTAAGTAAAAAAAAAAATCTAGTAGTGAGGAATTCAGAAGGGCTTTTTTTAACCATCTTTAAGCATATGCATCTTTTAATGGTGCCTTATATTGCATATGCATCTTTTAATGATGCCTTATATTCATATGTGCAGTAATTAAGTCAAATGTATTTCTTCTGATAATGTAGATGTGTGGGCGTCCCGCTGGTTTGAAGATTGAGCTGTCTCTGCAATTTGTTACACACACATATAAAAAGCATCGTCAGAATCTATTAGAGTAATTGTTTTGTCAGCCATGTAAATCTTTTACCGTCTGGTCATCTAATATTCATTTATCTACTCTTAATGAAAAACAAGTGAACTCTTCCAGATTATATGAACTGGTGTGAAACTTCATTCATATCTGCTGGCCTCTGACAGCAATCCCTTGATCTCTATTATTCAGCAAGCTCTGAGACAAGGCATCAGACTGCAGGGCTGGAGAGGCGGGTGGAGGAAGTAAGAGAAATCCTTTTGATCCAAAGCAGCTCGGCAATAAGATGACGGGGGAGTCTGGGAGTGTCCGCATCAGTATTTGACTTCCTATTCAATACAAATTAATTACCCCCGTGGCCTTAAGTGCTTGTGACAAGGCCGATGGCTCACTTTCATCGCAAGCAGATTCTCCCATTTGTTTGCTGTATGAGATGAAAGTTAATGATAGGGAAGGCTTTCAAACTTTGCCTTTCATGTTTCAACCTCTTTTATGTCACTGAAATACTCAGAACTTGAGAAATGGGATACATGTCAGACTAAAATGACAGGAAAGGCTTGACCGCTTCCCAGAGATTGCACAAACTGTGTAATGTAAATGTAAATGCCCCCCCACCTCACAAAAAATGCCCCCCATCCAAATGCAAATGGTGTACAATTTAGACAAAATATTTACATACTATAAACAAAAAGTGTGTTATTTTTATTTTCTAACTGGCTGAGTTTAAAATCAGATTAATTTTTTTTTTCAAGCTGCCAGAATTATCAGTCTTATTTTCATTTGGTTAATGCAAATATTAGATAATCAGATAATTCCACCTGGACATCATGATTATTATTGTGTCGCAATCTCCAGAACTGTGGTACGTTTTGCTGGCAAAAAGGACTGCATCCCTCTTTGAAGAAGACACTTAGAGGTGTAAACCCAGCATAACCATGCTGATAATGTCCGTTTGAACAACGAATGAAGAGTTTTTAAATCTCAGCCTGTCGATCAACTACAATAACACCAAGTTTAGTCCTGGCCAGACACTTTGAACCTGAGGTGCCCCTTTTCCACTGTGAGCTAGTAGACAATACCGGGCAGCCAGTTTTAAATGTCTAGAATCAAAGGTAAGCCATTAATTACACCTGGTTATTCAGCAAATTCTCACTTATAATCATCAGACTAACATTACCTTGATTGTTTTCCCTTGATTAAATAATTAATTAATTAACCATAACCTGTAGTTGCAGTTATCAATAAATGAATAATCAAGTCTGTAAGACTGGAAAACAGCTTCTTATTTGTTATTAAATAAGTACATTTATAGGTGTAGGTTTGTTATCATTTTTAACAATCTTTGACTTACAAGGCAAGAAACACTGCTCAAACAAACATCGATGAGAGCTGTGCCGGGACGTTTGCTGTGCCTGTCAGGGTAGTGTCCAGAGGTTGGAGGAGCTACCAGGAGACAGGCCAGTACAACAGGAGACGTTGAGGAGGCCTTATGAGGGCAACAACCAAGCAGCAGGAACGCTACCTCTGCCTTTGTGCAAGGAGGAACAGGAGGAACACTGCCAGAGCCCTGCAAAATGACCCCCAATAGGCCACACATGTGCATGTGCCTGCAAAAGCAGTTAGAAATCGACTCCATGAGGATGGTAAGAGGACCAGAAGTCCACAGATTGGGATTGTCCCACAATTGCTGAAGGGAGGAGTTGAGATGTATTCTCTGTATCTGATTTAAGACAAAGGTGTGAAAATAACGTGTCTCATTGTGAATAAGACCACTGTCGAATCAGTCCAGAAATATCCAACAACATCAATTAAAACAAGCGCCTCCTTCAAAGTGTTGCTTCCTGTGCCTGACACAGCAGCAGCTGCCAGTACTAGCCGAGGTATCATTGTGACCTTGATTGGAGCCACTCGTGATTTCCCCATGACCAGAGCACAATGAACACATCCATCTTTGTTCACTTGTCTCAGATATGAGCACTGTCCATAACCACATGTGCTTGTATCAGAAAAATGATGTGGCAACTTTTCCACAACACATAGCAGCGTGGTTTGGTGATTTTCTCCAAAATTCATAAGATCATTCTTCTAGCGCTCCCACACAGGATGCAGTTCATAGGGGAGGGGATCGTCCCAGCCTATGTCTCATATTTCCTGAAGCACCCTTTTTCCAGTGAGCAGGAAAGGGGCAACAAATACCAGTGGGTCAGAAATGGATGCATCTGTTAACAGGATACCAAGTCATGTTGCTGGCTGTTCTTTTAGGCAGACCCGAAATCTTAGCTTGTCTGATTCGATGTGCCAGTGGATCCCCAAGGATCAGACCAGATCCAGAGCTTTCACTTCAGCAGCAGGCTCAGATAGTGGTATAATCTCTAGTACAGCTCTGTTATTACACACAAACTTGTGCAGTCTTAGTCCACCTGTAGCACAGAGTTTCATATTTACTATACTGGTAGCACCATCATCAACATAAAAGTCCTTCATGATGAACTTTGATCCAAGGGGAAACTCAGTCTTATTACCTTTAGTGAGCTGTTTCAGTCCATAGTTAGCTCATCCTGGTGATGATGCCACATCAAAGAGATGAACTTTCATTCTGAATTCCTGTGTCTCTGCATTGAAGAAGCGTACATAGTCAGCTTCATAAACATAGAACTGATGGCACATCTTTTATATGTTGCACATCAATGCAATGTGGTGCTGTCTGAATCTGAGAAGCACCATCCTGATTATTTAACAGATCTGGGCCTGACAGAAAGTGGTCATTTAGGCTTGTTCCCTTATGCTTGGCAGAACAATCAAAAACCACATGGAGTTTATCAGTTTTTTTTAGAGTGGTGGGCAGAGTGAGGGGATCCGTTTTGGTGGCCTTAGGATTGCGTCTCTGCTTTTTGCAGATGATGTGATCCTATTGGCTTCATCAGGTCGTGATCTGCAGCTCTCGCTGGATCGGTTCGCAGCCGAGTGTGAAGCGGCCGGGATGGGGATCAGTGCCTCCAAATCCGAGGCCATGGTCTTGAGCCGGAAAAGGGTAGAGTGCCTTCTCCGGGTCAGTGGGGGTGTCCTGCCCCAAGTGGAGGAGTTTAAGTATCTTGGGATCTTGTTCACGAATGAGGGAAGAAGGGAGCGGGAGGTCGACAGGCGGATTGGTGCAGCGTCTGCCGTGAAGCGGGTGCTGTACCGGTCCGTCGTGGTGAAGAGAGAGCTGAGTCAAAAAGCGAAGCTCTCGATTTACCGGTCGATCTACGTTCCTACCCTCATCTATGGTGATAAACTCTGGAACATGACCGAAAGAACGAGATCGCGGATACAAGCGGCCGAAATGGGTTTCCTCCGTAGGGTGGCTTGGCTCTCCCTTAGAGATAGGGTGAGAAGCTCGGTCATCCGGGAGGGACTCGGAGTAGAGCCGCTGCTCCTCCACGTCGAGAGGAGCCAGTTGAGGTGGCTTGGGCATCTGTTTAGGATGCCTCCTGGACGCCTCCCTGGTGAGGTGTTCCGGGCACGTCCCACCAGGGGGAGGCCC